CAATCGACGGTCGAACTGTCGGTGTGCAAAGTGCGGCCAGTAACAACGCTTTTCCTTTGGTATGTCAAATCTAATTGGGCTGGCTTGTGCGTTGAGAACCCGGTCTGCTCAGTTAATCATCGATTAGGCCATACCGTGTGTCGCGGGGGTACGCTGGAGCAACACGGAGGCGCGTCCATCACAAATGCCAGTATGGATAACTTGAGAACAGGAACCGCCCGAAATGTAGGTTTTCCTGCGCCAAATCCCAGGACACATAGCACGCTTCAGGGTTAGGTTTAGTTTTGAAGTTAGTGTTAATGTTACCACTTAATGGTTAGGGTTAAGTTTACATTTAGGACAAACTAATAGGGTAAACATATCGTTGCAAGTAGACTTCGACCTTGCGACAGTTATTTTCAACTATGCGAACATGGATTTCAGCTGTGACGGTGGTTGTAGTTCAGTCTTGCTAATCCCATGTTCAGTTTCCCCCCTGCAATGTCAACTCAGTCCATCGGTAGTGAGCAGGCTTTGACCTCCCTCTACAACTGACTCAATCTGCTAGCTCAGAGTTTTAGCAACAGAGATGAAGATGTCGGCAGCCTTCATTACAATTTTCTGCGCATTGGTCGCTGAGTTTCTCGAACATTCACATCTTCCTCAAAGAGTAATTAGAACGTAAATCGTAGATATTTAACTATTTTTGTATAGGAACCATTACTATCCTTTTGCATCGTTAAAATTTAAGCATGAAAATTAAAATGATTGTGCGAAATTTGTCAGACAGAAAGTTGGTACAGACTAGTCTATTTCTAGCCCTCAGTCAACTTCTGAGGCACAGTAAAATATTTCAGCGATGGAGTTTCTATATAAAAGAGTTTCTGGCGACGAAATGGGGGTATCCTCGATTCCAGGAAAAACCTTATTTTGTACCAGGGTTTAGAGGAGAGTCCCCTCAAATCCCAGTACATGTCAAAGTAAGCAACACAAGATCGACTGAACCTCAATTTTCAATAATTCTGTTTTAAAAGATCGACCTGGTGGTGTTGTGATCAATCATTTGTATGGCCCTTGGCTTAACGTATAAGACAACACACACTTAGTATAGCAAAAATCGGGGAATATTTTGGGCCCAAAGGCCAAATTTTGTACAAAATATAGATCGAAAATCCGTTTGGCTCAGTCCTGCAGTGTTTTGCATTGTTATATGGGACAATAAGTGGGCATCCTTAACCCCAGAGTGCTCGGGTACACAGCTGTTCCTTTGCGAGGTGAAAGTGGTTGGGATCAGGTCCGCTGGAGCTAGCCGGAATCCAGGCCGATAGAAGTCTGTTGGCTTCCGGTGACGACGAGTCCACCTTCTCACCTGTAGGTCGCCTTTCAAGGGCGCTTCCCGGTGTCGAGGCGCCGTTATCCTCCGGCACCTCGCACTTCAGATGATCACCATTGGAAGGAATAGAGGGGTTAAGGTGAGGAGGGCTCCCGTTATTGGCAAGGCAGGGGCTGGTGGCCTCTGGGCAACCCGGGGCCTCCGCAGTGGTTCGCTGTGGCGGTGAGTGGAGCTCGGCACCACCACCGACGGGTTTTGACTGACGGAAATTCCGCCACTTCATTCGTCTGTTTTGGAACCATATTTTTACCTGCAAGAGATATGCATAAAATAAATTCTTTAAATACCCTCCGCTGTACTGAAGACAGAAGTATAAAGAGTTAAGATTGACAAGTCATCGACATTAACTCAATTAAAACCCTATATTTGCCTCACTAGCCGGGACTGTTGACCATCTCGAGTAAGATCTGAGCAGTACACAGAATACTAGCAGAATCCAGAATGCGAAATTGGGTTAGGCCTGAGAAGATGTTTTGTGGATCTCTGCGGGTTCTCAATTTATTGGAAGTCCTAGACTTCAATAGCTGCGTAGTATGCGAGAATATGTTATTGCTGATTGATTGCTGATTATTATTTGATTGACTGACTCTGCCAGTGGTTTGTTGTCCGGGACGGGGAATAGAGAGAAAAAGGTCGACGTATCAGTGCATTTTCCTTACCATGAACAATCTGACGCGCCTGAATCTATCATGGTAAATTTCAAGTCGTGGCTTGGAAGGTTCCCGACTTACAAGTTAATCTAGTAGACAGCCTCTGCTACCTCCACCACCCCCGCCCTTCCAGCAGCAATGGGGATTCGAGCCTAACCTGTAATGCATTGACCTGGTGGGTCACTTGCGAATCCATCGCATAGAGACCGGTTAACCAGTGCCTGGAGCACCAACAAACACAGCGGAGACCGGCGCCTTCCCAGCCCTTTTGCACACATTCACCTCATAGGTCTGCTCTGTCATATGTGAAATTCACCGCGTGGAAGGCACACCTAACACATAATGAACATCCACGCGCAATTTCATCCTTAGCTGTCCAGTCGGCGTGACCACCACCACCAACAGCAACAAACATACTAACACCGTCACTTCAGCATCTTTCCATCTATATTACCCCACTACCAGCTCTCATGCCCATTACGCATCGGCCTGGTCGGTCACCTGCGAATACATCGCATCAGTGCCTCGGGCCTCGACATAGAGTCGTCGCACCCGTCTCAGTTGTCCGCGCTGTCCAGGCATATTCACACACCGCATGCGTCTACTAGGCCACATACGTCTGCATGAAAACCTGCGGTTCAACACCGCCAGTTATACGAGAATGCCGCATATCTCTTCCCCAGCATCTACGTTCCACATGACATACATTTGCAAACAGTACCTCTCACGTAAGGAGGAAGTATTTCACTTGACCCCTTCTAAATGCGTGATCGGAGCCCGACAATAGCACGAGCGTTGCCAACTGG